GCTACTCCACGTTGCATGTAAAAAAAATTTATTGTCTAATTTGCTGGCTTCAGATCTAGAACAGCTTTTCATTACCTGTTCTTCTTAGGCATAATGTAGCTCAAACAGTAGATCAAGAAGATCAGATATTCTCAGTGGATGCCACTGGCTTAATTTCTCTGAAATTAGCCAATGTTTCTCTTCCTGAAGCTGTCTTGATGATAGGACAAAATGATTATCATAAGTTTTTAGTGAAACCTAAAACTTTGGAACATGTTTTATAAAATTTATGTATTGGGTGTTACTTAGTTTCAGAGGTTCATAATTTAACAATTACCTGAGGGTCATGATTATTATTGCTGTTTGGGAGTCCTCCCCACTTTTTCATCTTTTGAATATTAGGAAAAGTAGATCTTTTTGAAGATTAGACAGTTGTTCTGGTTTTAGCTGGGATTTTCTATCAGAGGTGCAAATTACCTTGAGTTCTTGGTTTCTACTCTTATGGCAATAGGATGGAAAGGGAGAAGGAGTATAATTGGGCTATCCTCCCCTACTTCTGAGCTTCCCGTTTGATAAAAATAAAAGAGTTTTTCTTCTGCAAAAGAATTAGAGCTATCATCAATAAAGGACAGCTCAATAGTAAGAAAGACACATCTTCATTTTATGAGATACATGCCTATCAAGATAAAATGGGAACAAGAAACAATTCCAAAAGAATAAAGCTACTGGCAGGAGAAATAAACTACTGGCAGTTTACTTAAACAACCAACAAATTATGAAATACCTGAATTTTTAAAAAAAAACAACAATCCCAGTTGGAGTCCCTTTTATCCAGATTGAAAAATGCCATGTTCTTGTACTAGAAGTTGGGTCCACTTTAGTTGCAAGAGTCTGCTGAGTAATCGATGAATGAGTGCGAGAGAAAATGCAAGCAATGAACGTTCTGTTTCAATAGGCTTGGCATCTGAGAATTTGTTTAGCATCAACTGTGCATCACTGTCTTTGTGTGCCAGGAGCATACAGTTATCAGCAAAAAGGGTTTCTTGAATGTCCTCATGGAGGCACTTCATATGTTTAAGTGGTGAAGGTCAAAGAGAGAGCTGTCCAATTGGTACTTGATTTTACACTCCCTCTTTCAGACAGCACATGACAAAGTACAAGTGAAGAGGTGTGAAGCTGGCACACAACTCTGCTTCACCTCAGTAAAGCGGAAACTGTAGGTGATTTAACACAACTGTGAAGAACCTATCCTTCATTTCATCATAGAGCAACTGAATCAACTTCACAAATTTCTTCCGTTATCCATAACAGGACAATCCTGAATACAGTGACAAATGTCTTTGTCATATCAATGAAGACAGAGTAAAGAGGTTTGTTCTGCTTGTTACATTTCTCCTGGACTCACCTCATGGCTACTGTAGGCCATTCTGGCCGAAAGCCACACTCTGAGGGGTTCTTTTCTGGCAAGTATGTCCAGGAGAATGTGGGGGAAAGCATTGTCTGCAATGGACAGCAGTGAAATATTCCTGTAATATCTGCAGTCTGATGTGCTTCCCTTATTTTTATAGAGACACATCTATTCCAGGAGGCCATCTTGGAATCGCGTATCTCCTCTGTGAACCAAATCCCACTTAGCCAATAAAGAATTCCATTCCATTCCTTCACACTCCCCAAGGCCACAAGACTTAATGAATTATGTTTGAAATTAACTGAATTGCACAATAAAAACTTTTGTGTGAGAGACTTTTAAGTGGAAAGCCATGGCACAGGAGCAATCCCACTTTCCTGGCAGAAGTCACTTTAATGCAGTGGCATGGATACCGATTACAGCTGGGGTCCTCACCTGCTGCAGTGCATGACCAGGATGTCTAAATGTCTTCTTGTGCTCTTATCATTCCATAACACATGCTGGGCGTGCATTGTTGACCACTGGACTATTCCTCTGCTCAATTTCATCAGGGCCAGATTTCTTATTGCTAGGATAGACAAATCCCCTACCTCACAAAGGGTTGGAGATCCATCAGCAACTCTCACCTGGTTTGACCCATTTGCCAAAACAGTTTACCAGGGTATGGACACTCTCTGTGTTACAGCTTACGTGGAACCACAGGTGAGAACTAAATGGCAGGTAGAGATCAAGGTGAACAAACAATTCTAAAAATCACGGAGACATCTTCAGACAGTGCTGGCTCTTTGGCTTTGAGACAGAGATTAGCACCGCCCCCTAGATTCGGGAACGACTAGAACATATGTGCGAGGGGACCTTTACCTTTACCTTATTCTATTTAAGCATTGATAGTCACCAATTTACCTCCATGCATGAAGTTAATTATTTGGTTTGCAGAAAAAAAAAAGATGGATAGTCCCATCTACATTTGCAACCGCTCTAGATGATACTTAAAAGATGTTAAGAGTTATGAGAATATGTCTCATTAAATTTTGAAGTATTAGTTGACAAAGAAAATAAAACTACATTAATTATGTCTTTTCTACATTCACAGAGATCAAATCAACCCCAAAATTGAAAAACAATTTTGCGTGACACTCACCTAAACTAAGAAGTTATTTTTTTTCCTGCTGCCCAATTACCTATTTCAGCCGCTAAATAAAAATGATACATTGACTTTAAACAATATCAACAGTCAAATCATAATTAAGAAATCCTTCATCATAACTTTCACAGTTGGAGGCCTGTAAATGATCAAGAATAAATATGTTATATTTCTTAGCCTCTGAGGACAATTTTTAAATACAAATCTTTACCAATGGAAGGAGGGGAGGGTTTGGGCGGGAGGAAAAAAACTTCAGAAAGTGGGCCATTCATCTGAATCAAGTTCAGAGAATTTCCAGGACTGTGAAAAGAAATGTTATGCAAGCACATCAATGTATTCTGTGGGGGTAGACTGAACCAGCTACATGGAGACTACAAAGGAGCCCTCCCATGGCTCATGAATAAGTTGAGGAAATGATCAGAAAAAAAAATAGAGAGATGTTTAGACAGATGGCCCACTTAAAATGCCTGGGACAGGGCATAAGTAATTTTAATGAAACTTTAGATCTAGCGTAAAAATTGTGGTTTTCTTTTAAAGGGAAGGGCAAGGGGAATAAAGGCAAATAGATTTTTAACAGTTCGCATACCACCCATTTTATGGCAGAAAAGACAAAACAATTTCAGCATTATTTGTTTAAAAGTTCAAATCCAGAGACATCTTTTACAGTGTCTTTAGCTATGCAGAATACAGAATTTTGGATATAAAGATGAAAAGAATTTTAAACAGAAGCTGATTGCCAAACAAAGGAAAAAATGCTCTCCTATTTAAATGTTATCAGTGTTTTCACACAAAACAGTTTAAAACATTTTAGAAAGCTTAAAAGCAGAACTTTTTGTTTCTATTTTTCTAGCCTTTTGCCTTCTGTACAAAACTGACTCATTTTTTTTTATTCTCTCAAGCTCAAAGACAAAAAGAACATTACAGAGTGCAGGAAAGGAAGAACCAAACTGTGCTGTTGAATTTAACTTTATATATATATGAGAGCTGATGAGAGCTAGCTGATGAGAGCTAAATAGCTTGAAATAGATCTATACTAGTCTCCCTTTATTTATTTATCAGCACAAATACAACANAGAAGGGGCATACAAGGATGCAAGGGAGATGTGGCAAGGATTGGGGAGGGCCTGCCAGCCATGTGACTGAGCGGGAGTGACTTGGCAGTCATGTGACTGGGTGGGCGTGGCGAACTTGTAAAATGTGGTGAAACTCACTTAACAACACTCTTGCTTAGCAACCAAAATGTTGGCTCAGAAACTCTGGCATTTGAAGCACGCAAGTCTTAAAGCTGTCAAGTTACAAGATCCTTTCACCCCTAACCCTTTAAAAAAACACCCCCAGGGATGTTCAAACTTTATAGCTTTAAGACTTTAAGGTTTAGACAGGACTCTTAGAGGTGGGCAGGATGATTGGTGAGCCAGCCAATTAGTGAGCAGCAGGCAGGGCAAGCGTGGTGTGGACAAGCGGGGGGGGGGGACTGGAACCAGTTCTAAACGGCACGGTAGATTTGTGGAACCTCTTCTATAGAAGAGGTTAGAACTGGCAGGAACCCACTCCTGATGTGAACCCATGTGCATTCTGAAACACTTTTTCCTATTTGAAGCTGAACTGTACTGTTAAGAGAGCATATGTCCCAGTTGCGAGGAGGGCTCGAATAGGGAATTAAGGTCTGACTGCCCCCCCCCCTTTAAATGCCATTGAGCCTTATCTAGTCTTTCCAGGCAAATCTGTAGTCTGGGAAGTAGGTATAGAAGAACCATAAACTAGCTAGTTTGAATTCTATACAGGTAGTTCTTGAGTTACGACAATAATTGATCCTGAAATTTCTGTTGCTAAGCGAGACATTTTTAAAGTGAGTTTTGCCCCCATTTTACAAGCTTTCTTGCTACAATCAATATAATTACTGCAGTTATTCGTAACAATGTTGTTTAGTGAATCGGGCTTCCTAATCATTGACTTTGCTCCTCAGAAAGTCGCAAAAGATGATTATGTGACTCTAGAACACTGCAACCATTATACATATGAGTCAGTTGTCAAGCATCTGAATTTTGATCATATGATCCTGGGGATGCTGGAACAGTTGTAAGTGTGAAAAATGATAAGTGGCTTTTTTCAATGCCATTGTAACTTTGAACGGTCACTAAATGAACAGTTGGTTATAAGTCAAGGACCACCCGTACATTTGGGTCTGGTTGTTCATGACTAACATGTACATTTATTCTGACATACGTTTTTGATGATTATATTACATAAGGTGCTTTGGATAAAATCAATCAAGCCCCAAAAATATTAAATTAAAATACATTTGAGAGATTTTAAGGTACAAGAAGTTGATTTCCTAGAAGCAGATAAACAGAAATATCCCTCTCTGGAAATTATTCAGATGTTTTATTCAGTCTAAGTCTTGTAACCTTAATCAAATATACCACACAATTACAAAATGTTATTTATTACAATAGTGAGAATACTTACAAAGTAAGTGGATCCTTGATGAGAAGCTACAACGGAATGAGTTGTGTCTCCAAGCTGGACATACAATTCCCATTTTTTTGTATCAGGTTGAGCAAGGGAAATCCTAAAACAAAACAAGGCAACATATTATAAATATCTTCAGTTAAGTTAATTAAGCTGGTTAAGAGAAGCTTTTAGTTATAAAGAAAAAAGTGATGAATCTGCTTCTTCAAACTCCACTCAACTTATGCTAGTTTGCAGTGGGAGCAGGGGTGTCAATTATGTTACAGTCTTTGGTTTTACGGGTTTGTGAGGGAGGCTTAAGCTCAGTCTTGAAACAAGACCCTAAACACTTTAGTCTGACATGACATAATGGTAGCTTGGAGGCAGATGTATCTACATTCTAATTCTCCTCTGAGAGTTAGGGCTGCTTTGTAAATAAGCAATGTCAGAAATATTGTGCTCCTACTTTATCTTAAAACATAAACAAGTTGAACTATTTTCTTATTAATAAGAATGGCAACAAAGCTGCAATATGGGATCCTAGTGTTAAAACAGAGAAAAATACATATTTCCTTACTGTAAATTCATGGAGTCTTTGAAAACAGATCAAATTACAAGTTTTACGAGAAAGAAACAATATTTGAATATATTTCTGGAAAGAAACACTTCAAAGAACAAGAAGCATATAAATGAGTTTAGACCAGTATTCCAATCAGTAATGTACAAGATTTCTAAAATGAAAATTTCAGGGAATTACTAATCTCCCAGAGCAAACTTTATATCTTTCAATAACTGCCTTTACAATCATATCAAGGAGTTTGTCCTTTCACACTGTCCTTAAACTGCATTCAGCTGTGATGTTCTAGACATCTGACAATGTTTAGGCTATGCCAGCTGCTTACCATGCTAATCATAATTTCACATTGTTACCCTATGCTCTCTTCCATCCTTTTCATGTGGCTACCTGTTCATTATCATAATTGGCCCACTTTTCTCCTTGAGTTCCTCTCCTGTGATTGTATGCTCTTGTTATAACTCAACATATGTTTAGTGATTTCATTACACCAGAAGCCTATCTCTTTTCAGTTCTCTACAAATACTACAAATAATCCTATACCATGCTATTTTTCTTAATTACATCTATAGAAAAGGAAGCCTAGTGAACTTAAGCCCATTTAGGAAGATATGTTATATCATCAAGAAACTTCTTGACAACCAGAAACGTAGACGACAAACAATTATTAATAATGGAACTGAATTCTCGATGTACACTACAGTATGTAAATTAAAACTATAATCTGTTTACAAAGCAATCAATCTTAAACTATAACAGTAAATTCATAGATTTAAAAGATTCGGTATCCTAGATAAATTGAGTTTTATTGGATTTATTATATAAGGTTAATTGTTCAATACAGTACAGGGCGGGGCATAACCTTTTCCTAGGGGGTCACAGCAAGATCGACAGCAGTTTACAACTTCCGCGACACCTCATTTTAAAGCCCATAAAAAACTGAGTTTATTGACACGATTTAATAG